CTCAATGTCTGATACACTAAAGGACTCAATATGGTGGCTGTCATGGTATTCTTTAAAAGGCGCCAAGTCTAAAACCAACTTACTTTCCCTGTAACAGAAGGCCCTTTATATCTTTTCCATGGAATTAGAGTTAATGAGACTTATTCTACTCCAAAGGAAGACTCCTAACTGCCATACACCAGGTATCTTTATTTTTATAATCCTATGAGCAAAAATTTGGCTTAAAATCCTGTGAAATAAAACTGGAAATTTTAGAGACCTACCCAGGTACAAACTGAATTAATTCATTCAATGAGTGCTTAACAAAAACTACTGCATTTTCTCACAGTTTATAGTAGGAAAAAAGAAAAAACCAATATGTGTATTTAAATATGGTTTAGTAAGTGTTTTAAAAGAGTAGCTGAGTGGTAGACAACTACCCAAGGGCAACCAGTTAGTATAGATTTGGGTCCTGGGCACTTCTCCATTGCTCAACAAATTGGGAACACATTTACTTCTTGAAGTAATCTAAATTAAGACACTCACTCTGGTCTAGACCATATGCTTAAGTTAGTAACCAGATTTTGTTAAATTTTTAAGACATGCATTGATCTTAAAATAGTCTCACCCAAAGATATATGATTAATCTGACTGGAGTTTAACAAGTCACCTTTAAAAAAATTAAACTGGCAACTTAGAACAAAACGTTTACATTGACAAGATATCTCAAATCTTTACTTTTCTATTTTTTTAGCATAGTTCTTCCTATTGTCTTTGAAACAGCTGTTTATATTCTCCTTCCACCAGGAGAAATAAAATGATTTTCCTGTAATCTTCATTTAAATAATTAATCCTATAGTTTATAGGTGCTATTTATAACATTGAGCTACTCTAAAATTCTTTCAAACACACATAGGTTATGAATTAAATGCACAGTAATATCATTTGTTGGAAAAATTAGTATGTAACTGTAACCTTGATTTTATCCTGAGAGATATTTGTGAAGAAGGCAACAGATAAAGTACTTCCAAAGAAAAAGCGTATTATTTCATGGAAAAAGAGCAATCACCATGAGACAATAAATATTCATATTATTTGATTACAAGGAAACATTCCTTTATCTTTCCTATCCTTAAGACAATTGCACAATAAAAATAATAATCCATGCATTTAGAATGTAAATGTGTTTCCTTAAGTTTCACTATTTACCTATTGCTATAGGACTTAGATGATGAGAAAAATTAGTCAATAAGAGAGAGATGTTTAACCTTCTCCGAAAAGGATAGCAGTACCCACATCGAGAATAAAAAATAATGTCCATATAAAAATTATTTCCTCTACAGAGCTTGGTATATTGTTGAACATATTGTAATAAGGACAGTCATGAATGCAAGTTCATCTAATTATTTTGTTCCTGCTTTATAATCACTTGTATTACCTCCTCATCTCAGTCTTGGAGAAGATGATTATTGGCAGGAGATTAAGTCAAAGACCTCAATGCCAACACATTAAAACGTGAAGCCTGACATTCATCTTTTCCTGTAAAGCCTTAGTTAAGGCTTAAGCTAAAAATGCTTCCCTCCTAAACATTCATGGAGGGGAAATGATAGGAAATGGAATAAGCTATAAATTTAAGTTTGATGTGGACAATAAATTATAGAACAGAAGTACCAGATACTTTATATCCCTTGTCAACAAAATGTACTCTTTTGACAATTATGGGCTTCATCAAGGGGTGATTAAAGCTGGAATCAGTTGGGGGATTCAATAAGAGCTTAATGTCTCATCAGAAGGGATGCCTGTATTTCAATTTGGAGAAAAGTTTGCTTTAAAAAATAGTATTATCTTTTTAAGTGACTCTGGTTCCTCATTAATTATACTATACGCTATAAAAGAAAACATGATATAAAAAATCTGACTGGGGGAGAATTGCTGAACTATCTTAAGATGAAGTAAATGGGTTCATTGCATCTTCAAGGCGGTCCCCAGCATGGACCCTAACAGTACTGTAATGACACTGTAGCATCACCCTTCTTCATTGTAGTGTTCCACATGATATTAAAGTTTCTGGGATTCAACATATTCCAAACTACAAACTCTCCCCCAAATAGATGAGCTTCTTATTATAATAGTCCTAATTTACCCACTCGATTCAGAAATAAGTCCCTTTGATTTTGATGGCATAGGATGAGTTCTATTGTATAAACCAGATTTATTTTTTTTAAACTACAACCATGAATGAAACAACACAGTATCATTCAAGAAATATGACTGTTTCAATAGAAATAAACTCTCATAAAATCTTGGGATAATGTTTTTGTGATTTAAAAATTCTTTTTTTTTTTTTTTATTTATTTTTTTTCTTCCATTTATTTTTATTTGTTGGAGGCTAATTACTTTACAAGATTGCAGTGGTTTTTGTCATACATTGAAATGAATTAGCCATGGATTTAATCCCTCTGGGTCTTCCCAGTGCACCAGGCCTGAGCACTTGTCTCATGCATCCAACCTGGGCTGGTGAAGTAAAGTTTCTCATTGAAGAGTTCATAACATAAGAAAGCCAGCAAAAAAAAAAAACATGGAATTATAAAAGGCTCTAGAGAAAAACAAGCATCATGTTATATCCTGTGACCCTGAAGCAATTCAAGTATCTGTGGTCCAAAAACAATATCTTAGCCAAGAGAGAGTTATCCACACTAGATAAATATATTGTGTGCTCAGTCAGGCTAATCCCTAGTGAATAAATGCATTAGATATTTTAAATTAGATATCATGATATTTACAGATGTTGTTGTACTAAAAATAAAAATGATAATTTTACTGAAGAGTATGTTTTATTTGAAATTAAAAACACAAACCCTCTCCTTTATGAACTTGCATTAGGTTCAGTGAAAACCAATACCACCAAAGACGTTTATGAAATGTGTTTTGATGAAATTCAAAATTAAGCTAGTCATTCTTCACTTTTAATGAATGACTAATAAAGTATAATCTTTAAAATCCATTGAACTGAAAAAGACAGAGATTCTGAAACCAGGAAGTCTTCACTGCTGGTGAGGGAAGAGCTTCTCTCATTTCTGCGAAGGCAGGCCCTTGGGAGCAGATTTTGGAAATGTCCATCTAAATGGGCAGAGGGTCTATGATGAGGGAACACTTCTACTACGACTCCACATAATAACTCTAGATATAGGATAAGGGGCATCTGGTGACACGGTGATGGTGTCACTTCCTCAAGCCTCCAGAAATCTCCTGATATTGGAAATCTCCCTTTTTGTGGGAGTTGGGGCAGGGGGACCATGCAGCATGCAGGATATTAGTTCCCCAACCCAAGAACTGAACCTATGTCCCCTGCAGTGGAAGCCCAGAGTCTTAACCACTAGACCACCAGGGAATTCCCCTATATTATCCCTCAATAAACCATAAAAGGTCAAAATTCAGAAAAGAAGCTAGAGGGAAAAGCTACCCATCTCCTTGCAACCAAGTAACTCCCACCCCAGTTTAAAGGATTCAGATATACAGAGCATACTCTGGGCCACAATTGGATAATAGTTTGTTATCAGAGATACACAATGTAAGAGATACTGTCATCTAAAGTTCACTTATACACCTCTTAGCATTCCCCACTAACAATTCCTACTTTTTAGACAAAGGAATATATAGAATATGAGAATATACAGTTTTACTCCCCAGATCATGCTAAAATATATATTTTAGCATGTAGATTCACAAACAGTGGTCAAAATATCACCTGGTTGCAAACACTAACATTTGACAAATAATAATATTTGAAAAGTCTAATTGCACACACACAAAAAATTGGGCTTCATGCAGTCAAAGATATATTGCCTAAATAAATAGCATAAAAATAACATAGGGACTATATCATGTTATAAACTTGGTAATTGATTTCATTCATTTCTTCCACTGGGACTTCATTAGAACCTTTGTAATGGACTTGTGAAACAAGAGGCTTTAATTTAATTTACCCACTGAAGCAGAATCCTGTAATTTTACAGTTAATGACTCTTAATAGCAAATCAAAAATGCCCTGGAGCCATGTGAAAGCAGCTGGGTCACTGGAAAGGATTTCCACCTTCTATCTCATTCATGGAGGTCAGATCAGTGAGATGGATAAAGATGTTCAGACCGTGATCGGATTTAAGAGGTTAAGTGAGGTGCTTGGCTAATGTATTTCCACCCTGTGGAAGCCACATAGTGTGTTAAAGTGAAAGTGTTAGTCGCTCAGTCGTGTCCAATTCTCTTTGGCCCCATGGACTGTAGCCCACTAGGCTACTCTGCCCATGGAATTCTCCAAGCAAGAATACTGGAGTGAGTTGCCATGCCCTCCTCCAGGGCATCTTCCCAATCCAGGGACTGAAACTACATTTCCTGTGTGTCCTGCATTTCAGGCAGATTTTTACCATCTGAGCCACCTATGAATCGCCCAGTTTGAGAGGCAGCCAGTTGCCCAGAGGTAACCCCATTTTACCTCCACTCTGCTGACTGACCACTGTGAACAGAAGTGGACACCCTTAAATAAATTTTTTTAAGATTTTCTATGTGGACTTTATTTTTAAAGTCTTTATTGAATCTGTATAATCCTGCTTCTGGTTTATGCCTTGGTTTTTTGCCTGCGAGGTATGTGGGATCTCAGCTCCCAACCAGGGATTGAATCCGCACTTCCTGCATTGGAAAGTGAAGTCTTAATCATCACAGGACCACCATCCTGGAAGCACTTAAATATTAACAATTATTTACAATTCCAAAGGACAAGGATATACTCAGAGATACACGATGTAATCAAGTTTCCCAGAGCTGCCTGACAGCTCCTACCCAGACTCTACTGATAAATTAATGATGTCTCCAATTCTATTCACCAATGCTTTCACCATGTCATCCTAAACTAAAAGCAGCATTTTATTTTGGTAAATGCAAAACTTGAAAACAGAAATTTTCTAAAAAACATGAACAATCTTAGAAAACATCACCAAAAGGTACTCTGCTTTTGAACCAACACTGACCTTCTGTTCCAAAAGCAATGTGTTTGTTGGGATTGCTGCAAAAGCCTTGTAGCTGGACCTGGTCTTGTATTGCTAGAATGGGGGGTAACCAGAAAGTAAGAATGGGGTTGAAAAGGGGAAAGAATGTGACATAACTTTAGACCAGTTCTACCAAGTTAAACGACACATTATCAAATGAAGGAAACAATGATTATGCTTCAACAACTTGCTTTTGACAGAAAAAATTAGCTCTTCATGTTAATGTTTTATTAGAATGAGAAGCAAAGAAATACCACAGTAAAACATCCAGCCTAGGGATTATAGGCAAGTATATGCTATATCATTTCAGAGTTTAAAAACATTCTTTTTTACACAGTTATATGTAAATTTCTCATTGGCAGTATGCCCTGACAGGAATAATATTGTATAAATATTTGGGGTATTTTTGCTTGATTCTCAAAGGAATGTGGATCTTTTTTTATGGTGCTGTAATTAACAAATATTATTGCAATAAGTTTAATTGAACTCAATACATTCTCTTGCATCATTTATTTAAAAAGTGATCAGAACACATAAAATTCAGCAATGATTTTTAAAAAAATAGTATTTTGAATAGATATGATAGCAATTTAACTCCATAATGGGAAAACTAGAAGGCCATGCTCTTGGTCTTAAATTCATTTTTCAAACTTCATCACCCTCTCCTGCACTTTCCAATACAGTGATATTAAAGAATCAAAAGAAAATATTTCAACTTTTAAGTAAAAGTTAGTGTAATCTAATTCAGTTTTGTAGAGTATTTGGGGTCGAGCATGAGAAAACTGTAGAAATCAGGATCACAGACATAATCAAAATCCCAGTGTTGACATTGCTCTGGGTGCCAAGTTCAAGGCTCCTCTCACTTCAAAAGTTCCTGTCTCAGGCAGCTTCCCCACCGGCCCCAAAGCTGTAGGAAACAGGCACACAGCGCCAGGCTGTCTTCATCCCCTGCAAGCAAACCAAAGGATCTACAGAAGAAGACAGAGTAATCAAGTAAAATAAAAAAATGCCAGGGCCGGAAGAAGCAACGCTTCAGCCCCTTCAAGCCCCGAGTCTCTCTGTTGACCTGGTACAGTAAGCCCCCTACATATGAACAAGTTCCATTCCAAGAGTGCATTGGTAAGCTCAATTTGTTTGTAAGTCCAACAAAGTTAGCCTAGATACTCAACTAACACATTTGGCTATATAGTACTGTACTATAATAGGCTTGTAATGCTTTTCATACAAATAAAATGTACATAAAAAACAAACACAAAAAGTGAGACAGTTTCAAATTTACAGTACAGTACCTTGAACGGTTCAGTAGTACAGTACAAAAGCTGGGGTATACGGGCTGGCATGAACGCTCACATCTTTGAAAGGTTGAAACCTGAAGGTTCATATGTAGGGGACTTACTGCACGGCTACAATCTCCAGAAAATAACGTATTTAGATTAAGGATTGAAGCAAAATGCCATCTCAGCATGGAGAATAAGAGCTGGCATCTATAACTAGGCAAACAACATGCATTGCCTCATTTAATTTTGCAGAATCCCTATAACTAAACAGTCATTAAGCAAAGGCTATGTGGTGAGTTCAGATGACTCATCTAAGACCACAGCCCACATAAAATCTAAAAGATTTGGAATTCAGGTCCACCAGGCCCATATTTCTCAACAAGATATCTTCTCCCAAGGAATATCTAAACAGATAAATAATGCAGAAAAAATGTTATTAATACTCCACAGTGGTTTTGTGGATATTTAATTGCAACAATAGTTGCAATAATAATAATAACTAACAATCACTACAAGCCAAGTACTCTCTAAAAGCTTACTGTGTATTATCTCCCTGAGCTATCAAAACAAACCTACGACATAGATATTATATTACATTCACTTTATATATGGAAACTAAAAGGCTTCCCTAATAGCTCAGTTGGTAAAGAATCCGACTGCAATGCAGGAGATTCCGGTTCTATTCCTGGGTCATCAAGATCCTCTGGAGAAGGGATAGGCTACCTACCCCAGTATTCTGGCCTGGAGAATTGTATGGACTGTATAGTCCATGGGGTCGCAAAGAGTCAGACATGACTGAGAGACTTTCACTTTCACTTCAAAGCAGAGAGACACTAAGAAAGAATGTATCTAAGGTCATTAGCTACTAAATCATCGCTGGGATTTGGACATGGGCGCTCCAGGTCAACAGCCATGATTCATCTACCATTGGACCTCACCTCATCTTTCAGGGTGCATAATCATTTATAACCTGTGCTCTCTCCTATCCTCAGCTGCTCCAAAGAGTATAGCTGAAAAGCTTGGTCAGAGCAATATCTTGCTATTATACATGTAATGCCATATAATCTGAGAATCAGAAGTGAAATTGAAGGTACTTTGGTTCAACCCCCCCAGACAAAGCAGGAATCTCTCTGATCCCTTGTTCAGCCATATCTCCCAAGGTAGCATGTTTAGTTCTGTTAGAATTAGTACAAAATTCTCCTTTATACTGAGATGAAATATGCTTCTGCTAACTTACTCCTGGAGGACATTGGTCCTCTTTTTCCCTGTTTGACTGAGAACTCTCTTCTGTGTGATGGTTATGCAGCTGTTTCTATCAACCCCTTCCTTACTGATCCTCAACTGAAGAACTCCACTATCATTTCCTCTTGTCAATATTCCTTTAACATTTTTTAAATTTAATTTTGATTTTATATTAGAGTATATTTGATTTACAGTGTTGTATTTTAAAGATGATACAAATGATCTTATTAAAAAACAGATGCAGACTGATAGAATTTGAAAACAAATTTATGTTTACCAAAGGAGAAAGGTGCAGGGAAGGATAAATAAGGAGTGTGGGATTAACATATACACACTACTATATGTAAAATTTTAAAAGATATGTTTAACTAGATATATTTTTAACACAAGGTAGAATATCATCATCATTTACATGATATTGACAATAAATTTGATTAATACAGTGAAGATAATAATCATAGGAATGGTCTCCTTAGTTTCTGTGGTATGTTTAGAATACAGAAGTGAGTGAAATTGAAGTCATTTTACATTATTGGAGCACCATGACTATGCTATAGCCTAAAATTCCTAATTTTTTCATCTCTTTTTTTAAATCAATTTCTTTTAATTGGTGGCTAACTACTTTACAGTATTGTGGTGGTTTTGCCACACATCAACATGAGTCAGCCAGCCACGAGTGTACAGGTGTCCCCTCATCCAGAACCCCCCCCAAGTCACTCCCACCCCCATGGAGAACAGTGTGGAGATTCCTTAAAAAACTGGAAATAGAACTGCCATACGACCCAGCAATTCTACTGCTGGGCACACACACAGAGGAAACCAGAATTGAAAGAGACACATGTACCCCAATGTTCATTGCAGCACTGTTTACAATAGCCAGGACATGGAAGGAACCTAGATGTCCATCGGCACATGAATGGATAAGGAAATTGTGGTACATAGACACAATAGAATATTACTCTTTCATCTCTTTTTAACATTTGATTTATATTTGGTTGTCATTGTAAACTGCAAAGATAATTTTATGTTATTTCATGAACCATTTTTATCTTCATTCAAGTCACAAATTAAGGATATTTCTACCTACTGGATTCTGCCAACCTGGTGGGCATCGATCCATCTTGTAAATTTACTTGGATACAGCAGTCAAACTAACGGAGTCATTCAACAAATTATTATTGAGTATCTACTTTGTCACGTGCATTGTTCTAAATATTAGAGATTCAGCAGTAAACAGAACTCACAAGACTTTACTCTCTAGAGTTAATATCTCATTGTACTGAAACAAACAAACAATAAACAAGTAATAAAGAAAAGTCCTAGAAAGATAAATAATATTCAGAAAATTAAAGTAAGATGATGAGATAGAGAATGATCTCAAGGATGCTTTGGATTAAGTATTCAGGACAAGTGGGAATTCACAGGAATACATCACTAGATCTCTAATAGGTCTAGTAGAAGAAATGAAAAAAGGAAGGTATCTTTCCTTGTTCATGATATCATGAGAGACATCACAAAAGCTGGAACCTGGAAGGCATTCAACAAATGTCTATTGCTTTAAGAAAATCTCTGACTTCCAGTTATAGTTGTTTTTGCAAACATTCACAAACTAAGAAGTTGCCATAATTTTCAGAATTTACCTTGGAATTTTGTGTTAAAAAAAAAACTGCTTTCTTCTTTTTTCTGGTAAATCTCTTCTTTTCCATAATTTACAATAGTTTTGCAATAGAAGTAGAAATTTCATCTTTCTTTTTTTGTGATACAATTTTTCTAGACCATGAGATTGAACTTCTTTACAGCAACGAGATGTCCTTTCTCGTACTTCCTGTATCTGGAGCCTCATGCATCTCTAAGATACATGTTCCCGTCATGGATGAAGGCAAAGTGAGCACGGTCAAATAGGAAAGATCAAGACCGAATATCAACATATTAGAATCTAGGTGCTCCAGAAAAACATCTGCTTCTGCTTCAGTGACTATGCTAAAGCCTGTGACTCTGTGGATCACAGCAAACTGGGGAAAAGTCTTCAAGAAATGGGAATACCAGACCACCTGACCTGTCTCCTGAGAAATCTGTATGCAGGTCAAGAAGCAACAGTTAGAACCAGACGTGGAACAATGGACTGTTTCAAATTGGGAAAGCAGTACGTCAAGGCTGTATATTGTCACCCTGTTTATTTAACTTATATGCAGAGTACATCAAGCCAAATGCTGGGCTGAATGGCTCACAAGCTGGAGTCAAGATCGCCTGGAGAAATACCCATAACCTCAGACATGCAGATGACACCACCCTTATGGCAGAAATGCAAAAGAGCAAAATGGTTGTCTGAGGAGGACTTACAAATAGCTCAGAAAAACAGAAGCTAGAGACAAAGGAGAAAAGGAAAGATATACCTATTTGAATGCAGACTTCCAAAGAATAGCAAGGAGAGACAAGAAAGGCTTCCTCGGCAATCAATGCAAAGAAATAGAGGGAAACAATAGAATGGTAAAAACTAGAGATTTCTTCAAGAAAATTAGAAGTACCAAGGGAACA